TTTTCACTGTATACGTTGGAAGAATTAACGCAACAACAAAAGCGCTATCACACGGAATGTCGTAGTGTGTGGGCAGTGAACCAGTTTCGCGTGTGTTGCAGTGGTTGTGGAATGTCCGGTTAGTTTCGCCTGTATGAATATTGACTTGGTACATTCGTTCTGGTCATGTTGAGTTGATTTACTGTAGCAAGTATACACCTCACCTATTGGTCACTGCTTGCTCCTTCAATATCGGTATCTTCAGAGTCGTCTCTGTGTTGTAGTCTTCGGTTGATTTTACAACTGAGCCCTGAGAAAATTAGTGAGTGGCAATGCAGGCAGACGATCTGTTTGAGTGTTCAGCAGATCCACAGCGATCTGTCGAGCAGTTACGAGTGAAAATTGGCACAGGCTGAAGTCCAGGTGCTTTCCACTGCCACCTGAGAGGATGATTTAGACACAAGTGTGACGTCAGTTGTGTTGTGCTCGAGTCTGAATGCACGGTAGTGTTGACTTATGCGTCCACACGCCAACACAAGTGCATTGTACTCAGCCGTGTGGGGGTAAACAATGCGGTTGGAAGCGAGAGACGCAGTGTCGATGTACCCTGATGTCTGGATATTTGATGACAAACGTGCTTATAGACACCCCTAAGCCACCAGGACTTTTTCACTACTTTTTCTCCTCGCAATTCCTTTCACGAGTCCTGCGAGAACCCATTTTTAAGGAACGGTTTACTTAAAACGTCACCTATATTCGACTACTCCTCTTCCTTCCTGATCACCTGGCTCCTTCAGAATATTAATTAAAGCCTGTGTTTGTGGCGTCGCTTAAAGCCAGCAAAGGTCACACCCCTCGACTACTCAATTATGCATGTACACACCGCGAGTCAGCCGAAATCTCTAGTGTAAACCAAGTCGTTGTCATTTTCAGCAGTAAAATCTTAAGTTTGATGTGTTTAACATCTATCCATTGCCTTGTTCATCTAAGATACCGCCTTTAACTCTTTAAGGGTATCAGGTGACACGGATTCCACCATAATGTCATTCTTAGCCCATATAATGGGCCCGTACAACTTAGTTATTGTGATTCGTTTGGCGAAATTGTAGAACCCTTTTTGTTGACACCAGATTGACGGCTCAAACAAAGCTCTCTAGCTACCTACCAGATCTAGCTGTGACTCGTTCACGGGACCACAGTAGTGATTCCAGATGTATATGACAGGAATAAATGTACGCTATTGGAATGGTGTACCCACGCGAATTAAATGAAGAAAAGAAAACGCTTAAGCATATCTGCAACGATCGGCTAGACGGAATATTTATGGCTCACCAAGCTTAACGCGTAATTAGTAGAACAAACTGGCGCATGTTAATGGCTAAAATGGTAATTCTGTCGGTTCCAGAACTTCGGAACCAATGGTATTTTCAGGTGGAAATCAATTGAACACCCGAAACTCGATTTCTTCATTATCATCTTCTCTGTCGATTCTGAATATCCCCAATCAAATCTTATTTTTTCAGTACTTCGATAATCCCATTGTCATATTCAGGATGGCCGTAAATTCAAACGTGTCTAATCCAGCTAGTTCGATCCACCGTCAGCTGTGCTTAACCTACAAAGCTGTTTCTCCTACTTCATAGGTAAGAATCACCAAGTCATGTGGATGGGTGCATTCTGGTTTCATCTTATTACGCTGCGGCACATTTTATTTCAAAATTTGGCCAGAAATATCACGGAGTTGGAGCCTGAAAAAGGCATGACAGGTAGTGCAAAAAGTGGCTTTTCGTGCTGGTAGAATCATCTGCGAAAGTGGGCAACAACCAGAAATTGGTAACTGTGTGGGCAAATGTCGTGAAAGGACTTTAAGTGTGCTGCGTTCAGTTTGGGGGCTGGATTTGGGTAAGAAAGATAGAGAGAAAGACTACTTGACCCTAAACTCCCTACTAGATCGAATTTGTTTGGTGTCTTTGATTGCCTAAAATGCCTCTTACTTGGTCTGTACCAGTCCAGTCAAATTTCTGGACTTCCACGACCAGTGGCTCTCTGAACACTTTTGAGTACATCCAAGATCCCTGTTTGAGTCGACATGCGACCGCCTGAATGAAATGTAGCTCATTTAGATGCAGTTTTGCAGAAGTTGGCTGCCTGTTTGAATTGAAATACTCTTGTAAATGTTGTCACAAGTAATGCCATGCAAAACGTAATTTTAAATCGCTTTAAATTAGCGTGATTTCAAAGCTTGAAAGAAGAGGCTAGTCACAATGCAGTAGGAACAAATGGCTGGTGAAGAATGAGACGCCAAATCACGCAAAATCGCAGAGACAGCGACGTGAAGGCACGAGGCCTCACAGCGCGATTTGTCTGCCAGACAGACCACGACCACCGGAAAAGGCAATGCTGGCTGTGAAAGTGCACGCTGGCTGTTGTTGTTGTTGACGATGCTGATGATGATGTTGCGTAAGACCAACTTGTGACACCGCCTCAAGCCTAAAACATCGGCAAAATGCGTGCCTACTGAGGCGGCGGCGGCAGCGGCGGGAGCGACGACAGAGGCACTGCCTTGAGGAGGTGAAATATTACTCTTCGGCTGCGTCCTTATCCCTCCGACCACGCCACCCTCGTCCCTGCGCCTCAAAACATTCGGGCTTTGGTGCCGCCAAGATGAAGAAAGACGTTAGTTGGAAGAATGCGGTTTGATCAGCAATTAAAAGGGTTCAGCTAGGCAATTTACCAGCTAACACTACTACTAGATTGATTCCGAGCAGGTTTTGGGAAATTCCACCAACACCAGCGTCCAAAACGTCAATTAAAGATCTCTGGGACACACATAGAATCACACCTTCTGTTTTGGTCTCGTTGTTTTTGTAGTGTCTTTGGCAAAACACCTAACTCAGCACCCCATTGACGCCATCAATCAGTCTGAAATGTAAATAGTTAGAACAGCCTTATGGGAGACCTGGTCAACGAGGCATTAACACTGGTTTTTTATTCCACAATTGCAAATTTCGTCTCTGGCAGAGTGCAACGTGTGCAGGCAGGCCGGTGTATTTAAATCGACTCCTGAGTTTCTTGTGTCGAGCATAACCCTCTCTGTAATAGTTGTTCGCTGGTTAAAGTTTGTTGCGTTTAGCCAATTTAATGGCCTTGCCATTTAGCTCTATAATTTCAACTGTGTAGCCCGGTATTTCAATGATGCAGTCATCCGTAATAGTGCATTTTAGATCTCTTCTTTTTTGCCATCCCCCAGATGAAAAGTCAGCGGTATTTTTATATATCACTTCCACAAAAAATGCCCATTAACTTGAAAGATAATGCTGCATTTCAGATTGCGTAATTAAATGAGCAAGATCCAGGGTTTAAAACAACCGTTTGGATGCCATGTCCTTCCCTTCCATTTAGCATTGGGGGTCATCCAAAAATCAGCAGTTACTAAGGTTTCAAGCAATCAGATTGTCAGCTGTATTTAACTATGTTTCGACACTACTATTCTTCAATTAATCCTTAAATATTACAAATAATAAATCTCAGTTTCTAGCGGACACTTAGACAAACGCATTAAGTGCTTGGAATCACGACCTCACATGGGATCTTAGAATTGACGCAACCGCTACGAGGACGTCTCATTTTGCTGAAGGTCATGGTGGAGGCTGTTTAACCAATGCTAACCATGGCAACTCCGTGACTTTTTCTCTAATCACGTACGGTCTTTGCAATTAAAAGTGGGAGGAGATTGGATGTGGGCTGCTAGGGGTCCCATTAGCGAGAAACAGCTTCGTGCACAAATTGAGGAGGCGGGATTCTAGCCCCCTAGAAACGGAATGATGAACTTTGCATTACGGAGCCCACGTGTTTAATTAGTAGCTTTTGTTCATTTCGGTAGACCTAAGTTCAAGCAGATGATGACGCAAAAGACGAATTAGCATTAGTCGTCTGTTGTGTTTTTCAAAAATCATCATCTCCTCCTGATTTCTCCCACTTCAGATGCCCTCAGACAACTCGGACACGTCAATTGGTGAGTGATTTGGTCTGCATTTCGATTAATGGGACCCTTTTCAACGATTCAATGGCATCCAGTTTGTCGAACAGGCTACTTTTGGTCTTGCTTAACCTTCTTCTTGAAGGGTTTTATCTGTTGATGGGCTACCAAATTGCATAGAAAACGTTTGCACAGGACGTTCAGTTTGCACCGCTTAATCGATCAAATCTTCCATTGGTGCATAGCTAACCCTTAAAGCGACCTTTGATTTACTTGATTCTTAAATTCTCCAACTGTTTTACAAATTAATTTTTTTTACTTTTAGCCAACTTTTTTTGTCAAATTGTCAAGTTAATAGTTGTACCTTTTTCGCGCCATTGAGTCAATTTGTGGTAAAAATTAAAACAAAAAGAGGCGCGCTGCCCTGTTTACTGTCGAGTCTGGACAGAATGCCGCTGTTGGTGGTGAAAGTTTGCGAATCCGCGGTGTGGGAGCCAGCCCACAGTTTGACAGCAACCACGACACGACACAAGCATACACCCACAAGCGCTGAAATGGCTTTACCTTCTGGTGACTCTGGAATCTACAGATCTTCCGGACGGTCTCTTGTTGGCGGCTTGTTACTAAATGGCGGGTTTGCGAAGGTTGAACTATGGTGATTCCAAGATATCGGACACCTAAATTATACCCTTCCACTCATGGAGTTCTCAGATTCCCGAAGTGGGCGTGGGTGTTTTGAGTGCTGGTAGATCTGAATAAAAGTGTTGACTGGAGTCTTATTTACTATATCACTTAATCAAGCATTTACGTAACTTTAAATAAGCTGTTCCTGAACTCAATTCTCGGCTGATTATTTTCCTAAATTTAGGTGTTTTTCTGTTCGAATATTGAGCTCATGTTGTTTAAACTAAGTCGGCCAGAAATTGGGCTGTATCTGATTGGCTTGTGGACAAGTGAAGCAATGTGCACCTTTGATGTCGAACTAAATCTCTCTCATCCCTTTCATGAGCTAAGCCGTCAAAGCAGTTTAAGCGTAATGGACTTGGTAAGCGTCACTTCCGAACACAGCAGCGGTTTGCACTTCGCCTTTGTTGTTTTTCTGACAAAGTTAATTTTTCCAAAATATAGAATCGCTTGCCTCGCAAAAATGCTACATTAATCAAAGACGGTAAAAGTAGATGCATTCAATCTTCAAAAGGAAACAGAAAATCAAGTTTACTTGAAAAATGTGTCGCAAAGTGCGGGAATTCTGGAGGAATTTGTGGTCAACCTTCTCTAGACATCAAATTTTAAATTCTAAGGCCCAACTCGCCGCATCCCAGTCACACCAAACAAGTGTCTCGGAGCAGGCTTTATGTCCTATTTCCTTTCCTGAGGAAGTCAAAATTACAAACTAGGTGTGAACTGACACGCACACACAAATTAATAGCGCTAACTCAACCAAGCATCACTTTTAATTCAATTACTAAAATCCTGTAAACACGAATCACACATAGCCAATCACAGAGCGACTTCGTTGACCCTACAAGCAAATTTCACAGCGCTCATGGGATACTGGTGGCTGAATGAGTTACGAGAATGCCTGTTAACAGAGGTAATTAAGAGAATAGCGTCGACAACTTTAAGGTGTTTGGCGGATCTAGTTAGTGTCGTGACAAATTTCAATAGACGGTGTCTTTTGATTTTGCAGCATTGCCCCTTCCGCTCTGATTGCAAATAATTACTGTAAACAAGTGCCGGATCGAGTGCTTATTGCATGAAGCCAAGATCTGGAAAGTACACAATTGTCAGCCATGTTCCAGTTGACTGATTAAGATGGAGTTGGACGAGAAGTCTTCATTTTCTGTGGAAGAATGCATCGATACGGCAAACACACATATCACATGTAAACGTTTGCTTTCTTTAACATACTTCAACAATTGAAGCAACAACGTTATGACGCAAGCGCGCTATCTTTGAATCCTTACCAAGTAACTGCAGTCGTTCACCTCACCACTTGCGTATTTTTCGCATTGGCACTAGAGCAAGTGTGCGACGGTGGTTTGAATAAGGCGACGCTCGTTGCCAAAACTTTGATACCACTGCTAAATTCCCCATAGCAGGCGGAAGACTGCTAGGTGTGGCGTTCCCTTGACACTGACTGGTAGCGAAGTTCCATGATTTGGAGATTGCTGAAAAGGTTGCAACAGTGTACCGCGTTAATTAATATGAATCTGTTGTGTTTTACCGACATCAATTAATTTACTTTTAGCAACGCAAGTGAGAAATTATTTTGGAATTTCAAAGGCGAATTTTTCGGGTGATTTCAAGAGTTCTAGCCCCAATTCCACCGAAGGCAGAAGCCTGCACGTCTGACGGTGTTGATGCTATTTTCGAAACCAGATTTTTAACTGACAGTAATCAGAATGCTTCGCGGGCCAATATGTTTAAATTGCATTGTATTCGGGGCTAGGACAAAAAAATTCAAATGAGGAGTTGCATTTTCGTCATGTACTCGGTCAGTAGTAAAAACTGAGTTTGTGTTCGTACCGCAACAATAAATTGTCAGGACGTTTATCGGAATCATGATTGTGCTCTTAGAACAGTCCCAAAGGGTCGGCTTGATTTCAAAACGGTGATTGAGTTCGTCCTGGACAACATTTCATCAAAACGAAATCGTCATGGACCATGAAACTAAGATTACAAGAAAGGAAGCTGGAAGCATCGAAGTGAAAGGGCCGAACCTATGGCAAATGCTGAAGCGTAATGTCTGCCGAGAAGATCGCAGGAGAAATTAGAAGTGCTCCAGCAGGACCCACTGTATCCCCTTGTCCATGTCTCTTCCCATTGTCACCTACTTTGCTCTCTCCAAAATAACTTGTGTGGCAGAAAATGTGATTTATGGAGGATGTTGAAAGCTAATTTGCAACTTTCTTCAAATAGAAACCACGTAGATTCCAAAATAAATGAACTTAGCAACCTGTTAGGGGGTGAAAAAGTTATAGGATATGATAGAGAGCATATTACTGATCAAAAATACTATTTTTTAATGTAAATGTACTTCGTGCTTTTTATTTTAAATCGAGCACACACCTCTGAACTCACCTAATCAAACCAAAACGCCTCAAATTGCTTTTCTGGAATTAAATAAATGGTTCATAGAGTACCACAATAAATTAGCAACTGCGAAAATAACGTTGGTTTCCGCGTAGAATAATTTGCATAACCACCGACCTCGGTTCTTTTCGAACTAGACGAAAATCCGATGAGTTTGTTAAAGGCCTCGGCATGTGGTCTTGAACCATGCCAAGGCCAGTGTGTGAAAATTGATCCGTTTACACTACTCAAACAAGAAAAAGATTAGAAATAGCTAAGACACAACTGTTTACCAGTCAGCTCAACTGAGTTGTGCTTGTCACGCCAACGCTCCCGGAACTCATGTCGTCAATTTCACTGTGCTTAATGTTAGGTGTGTGTGTGTGTGTGTGTGTGATTGACACACTCAACAGCCTCAATACACCCTCTCGAGTGGTCAAGTGACTACGATCAGTTCCAACTTGATTCGGTAATCGTCAACTTCATTCGATTTCGGTCAAATGTGAGTGAGAACTTGGCAATTCACTCAAACGCGAGTGATCTGCTGGGCAGTCGACACCTATCGCCCATCCCCTTTTGAGCCTGAGCATAATATTTCCTTGACATGTTCGTTCCTGTTACACTTGATTTTACATTCACAGTTACAGACAAAACAACTCTCGATCTGCCCCTAACTTACGGCAGAAAAAACTTTATTTATTTTAAAAGAAAAGAACGTGCTATCGTTTGAACTAGGTGCTTTTGCCAACCAGAAATGAGATCAGCATCGGTTGCTTACCTCAAGAAAATTATTATACGGCTTTTTAATGAATTCTGCCATGTAGTAACTGATTTTTCAAAAAAATATTTTTTTTTCCAACAACGTAACCAGTTTTAAGGCTGTTCCATGAATAGTTGTATTTCCGTCCACCCATACAATCGCGAAATCATGAATTGAAGGAATCCCGTAAGTTCTTTTCACACAAAACTAAATTAATCACAGATGTGTAACTATCAGAATCATTGCAAGCAAGCATTCAAATTTTTATTGGTTTGAGGGAAAAACGAAAAAAATTACTCGAACGTTGTTACTAGTCGACGAGGGATCGAGCATTTGCCATAGCAACCAATAAGCGGTGATCCCCAGTGTCAGCTATGCAACCTGAAGATGAGAGGTGTGGGGACAGGGGTGATTTTGACCACCTCATTTCCAGGTTGTGGTGAAAAGTTGGGTCAATAAAATGCACTTTGCCGAAAGCTAATGACAAGTGCAATATTACTAAAATACT